CAAATGTCCCGCGCATCGTTGTTTTCTTTCAATGAATGAAATATTTGACAAAGCTTGTTTAGTGTTGTCGCTCGCCATTTGTAACAACTGAGGTGGCCCGCGTGAGTGATCGCAGCTTATTTCGTTTTTTGAACGTAACTGCCTCCGGATAAACGCAATAGCTGGTGTGGTATGAGGCAGGTTAAGACAACACGGAGCTGTTGTTCAGATCGCAGTAACTGGGATATCTTAACCTAAACAACGCTTAGTTATGTAGGGGGCGTTGAACTTAATAGACTGCAGATACTGTGAAGAGAGAGAGAGAGAGAGAGATGTTAATAGTGTAACGGGCATAAGAAATAACATTTGAACTGTTGACGCGGCCACCATTGCTTCATTATTTACAAAATACACAGAGAAGATGGGGGTAATGCATTTAAACTCAAGAGTAAAAAAGCCGCTGCACTTTACGCCGAATATCGCACATATGGAGAGAGATGGAGATGTTTAAATTCACATCATATTTACTCTGGGGAATTTTCTCCCGTTTTAGCATCCTCGTTTTCCAGTGAATTTTAGAGCTGTCTGTTCCATGTTTTTGACGAACCCCTATGTGTGGAACCCTGGGTCGGCATCATAGAAAACAGAGCACTAACTCTCTGAAGACAGCTGAAACAAGACAAGATCACGACCGTCGTTACATGCAAAAGATCAGAAACACATCGGTTGATTTATGGACGTTTTTGATGTGTTATGTTTTTGAGTGCTAAGGCACTTCAGACATCACACTCCTCAAGCACGTGTTTATACATCGCGATCGACCTCTTCGACTCTACACAGGAATTTTATTAAACGCTGGTAAGACCCCTTGGCAGTTCGTAATTGATAAAATATATTTAATTCAAAGCATGTCCCAGGCCAGCGCCGTGTTCTGTAAAGATCAAGACTGATTTACATTTGATATGAGATGTATTTTACACACCATGGTATGGACCTTGTTGGAGCCCTTTGTTACTATCACCCATACGTATTTTGGTTTCGATGTGATTGCCTCAGAAGAAAATATTTTGAAAATCGAAACGCCATTAGAAAAACACCCTCGTAGCCGTACATGTAAATGTATTGATGATTTACGTCATTTGAGCGGCGGAATCCCTATTTCCTTTTCTCTGAAATTGCGTGCACATTAATCTTGCTACCCACTGATTTCATTTTATTTTACACAGCCAGTTTTCGGTTTTTAGCGAACATATGTGAAAATTTGGGCTACAAATCAGCAAGACAATTTTGAACGAACGTGTTAAGGTCGAGTATTGTCAACACGCACCTTCGTCCGTAAACATGCTCGATCAGCGTGATTGAAACCCGAGGAGACCCGACCTGACCCGAGTTCTGACGATCGTCTCGGCGGTTCCTCGTTCACACGATCTCATTCTGACACAGGAGAGCCTGCTTCGCTCGCGGGTGAATTTAGGAGCTAGGAAATTGTTTCTAGTTCACGTTGATATGTTGCCGACGACCGAGGAATTCGGGTTGAATGTTTCCGTAAGTTTGATCGGGTTTGTATGTGTGTGCTTTTGTTCGTTTGGCGAGTAAAAAGAGTAGGTCGACAGGGGGACTGTAGATGATTTATTGGTTTGTGTGTACGCTCGGGGAGTATCAAAATATCAAAAACATCAGAGCAACAAAGAATATAGGTGGGTAAATTTTAGAGGTAGCGTGGTCTGTACAAGTGCCGCTCTGCGAAAGGGATGTCGTTATAAATGTATACTGAGGGTGACGATTCTACAGACGGTAAGAGAGAAAGAGAGAGAGAGAGAGATGTCCATCAGTTCACGCCGGGGTCCAAACAAATAACTTTGCCGCAAGGGTTGGGGGGGGGGCATTTTCAAGATCGCCTGTAGTCACCGAATGCCAAATAATGACCGCAACGAAGAAAAACCATAAGATTCCTGTACACTCTGTCTACATATCTATCCATGTACATCAATGTCGACTTCTTAAATACTAAGCCTCAGGAATTCTAGTAAATGCTCACCATGATCGATACGGCTGTCAGTTTAATGGCCCGCCTCAGCACCGACCGTGAGCAAATACATACATCTCTGGCGTACGGTGCATGGCAAATGTATACGAAATGTACACGGTTTAATAGCCGCATTGACATGAGTACAAGAGAGCGCAGGGTCCCCGGGTTCATTTATTTTCAAATTAAGATCTGCGTTCTCATGCATAGGAAACGAACTCTGTGCGCAGCACTGTGGCATTTTTTATCCTTAAATCCATCACTTGTTCTGGTCTACTTTAAGGCTTCCCAAAATTTAAAACGAAGATAAAACGAAACAAACGAACCAGAGACATGATATGAATAATTTGTCTTTTTAAATTAAATAAAATTCAACCTTGAAAAGCTTTCTATGGACGTCAGTTTCACATTTAAATTATTACATTTTTATAAACAAAAATAGTATTCTAAATAATGCACGATGCTTACTTTGTCGTTTATCTAAATCAATTCCCCTTAAATAATTTCACAATCCAAAACTACCACGCTGGATAGCAGACGATATGAGCAGACGATCTAGCGACCAATTGATACTTGGCGATGTAAATGAAGTAATCTATCAGGGGATTTAGAAAATTTGTTTTATCGGTGACTCGCAAACATCGTAGATTAATCTCGGCCCTTTGAAGGTGGGACACGTTCGACAAACTTTATTACAGATAAATGCGAACGCGGCTATGTCGTCTGCTCGCCTTGAATGGGGTCAATGGGTAACTTGATTGTTCTGAGTGAAGGGGTCGTCTCAAAAGTGATTTATTTTCTGTTTGTGTAAAGCTTAAAAACGGTGTGGCTATGCTCGACTTTGAATTATTGAACAGTGGATGCTTCATTTAGGAAAAAATGTCTACAATATTTCATAGTGTATGTTAGTTGTTTTGAAATTGAAAAATATTTTAATTAATTTTTTTGTTTATTTCCTCTGCATTTTATTTAAAAATCATATTTCTTTAGAGAAAGCCAAAAATGTTTTGCTTGCAAATATGACAGTGTTTTGTTATATATTTGACAGTAAAATCCAGTTTGCCTAAGGGGCTTTTTCCATATGGTGAAAAAACAAAACTGAAATTCAAGAAAAATAATTTAGAAACAAGATCATCATCTGACCTGTGTACAGTGTGTTTTCATTCTATGGCAGTGGTTGTTGTCTTCATGGTTCTGTGAGTTTTTCAATTTGTGTTAAATTTCAACAACATTGCCGGATGTAGGCGTCAAAGGGAGGTTAGCCACGTGCAAACATCCTCCCGACCCCGAAGGTCAATGGAGAACAATTGTCTTGTGAGGCTTGTTTTTGGTCTCATGTTACTGCATATTTATGCGCGTGCTAAATCCATTTTTTTCCCGTTGGCTCAGTGTCGTAATATTTCGCGGCATTGTTGTACCTGCTGCATTTTTTTACTTCTATTCCGAAAGGCAATCCAAGCAAGTCTCTGATACTTTGTTTTGTAAATGGCAATTTCTGCATGATGTAAAGACATCCATAAATATGCCGGCGATTAAATTGCAATATTATAGATCTACCAATTACTTAACATGAAGGAAACGCAACGCAAAATGTGTGGAAATAGTAATAAATATTTGAAATGAAAAAAAAAATGATCTTCGCTACCAGTCAAGGGATATTTACCCCAACGAAACCACCAGTGCGTAACAGTATTATTACACAACTGCCCTCTGTCCGAGTCATCGATCCTGAACCTGATCGCCCCTCCGCGTCTGTTCACGGCTTCTAGTGGTATTGATCCCGTATCTGAGCTCCGTGCTGTGCCGCCACAACACATTGCGTTCCTGATTCCCTGGTCTGTCTGGCACGCTGCCAACTGTTTCATTCTAACCGTGTCAAATTAGCGAGCTGAACATAACACCATAGTGTGGGTGAACGTCCTGTAACATCATGTCTCTTTACCACTAGCTTTCACATGTGTCTTGCATATTTCTTTCTGTCTTTGTCTATTTTGTTTAACATGTTTTTGTTGCTGCTGCCGTCTTTCCCCCTAAGGCGAAGAATGATGATGATGATGATGATATGATGATTATCTATTTATTTTGAAAATAATATCAGAGATTTGCAGAAATATCAGTCAGTAACACCGTTCACGTAATGTGTGAGACACATTCCTGTTTTACATCCAACTGTTAAAAAATACGATAAATAAACAACACAACGGTCTTTCCATATTTTAAAAATATAAATTAAAAATATACATGTCAATCAGTTCATGATCACATATTTTGGAAACTCACCCCATGCCACTGTACCTATATGTACAATCCTCGAACTCGTAAACATGAAGTTACGCATGCACTTTTACTCCTATATACATATTCCCAGTAGTTTTGCGGTTGCACTAAATACGGCCATACATTGCTATCGACTGAACAAGGAAATAGCATGAATTCTGACCGAGCCTAATATGAGCTCTGAGAAGTCGTTTTATTCATTTTTGCAGACAGGCAACACGCATTTGCCGGGCCGCAGTCGTGATTGGTTCCGGCTTGATGAAGCCTTGATTGGTCCCTGCTATTGATAGAAATGCCTTGTTGCTGATAAAACGATTAGGCTCCTAATCGATGAAAACACATGAAACCCCCGCTGAAACGTGCTTAATTTGTTGTTGAGTTAATATTTCATGGGTCTATGTGGTGCAACGCTCGAGTGAGCGACGTTATTTTTATCGAAAAACAGCACAACGGCTACAAACAAGATAATGTCCTGATTGTATTTAATATCACATTGTCAGAATAGAACAATGTATCTATCATGCGGACATTAGTGATCGAAGAGCCATTTAATCAAAGAATCTTATTAATCATATTTAAGGAGTATTGTTACGCTGTACTGTTGAACTTTAATTTTGTAAACAGCCCTACAACATGTAGTTGAATTTCTTTTCTTTTGTATTTATTTTGTAGTGGTGTTTGCAGTGTAATTATTCATTTCGCACTCTTGTATTCCCAGGATGCATCGGACCACCAAGTTACAGCTTACTGATCTGAACCCGCATCTGATGTGCGCCCTGTGCGGCGGCTACTTCGTGGACGCGGCGACCATCACTGAGTGTCTTCATTCTTGTAAGTTAACTGACAGCTGTTTGGCTCTTTTTACACAGAACGGTATACTTTAGCGATGCAGTCTGTAACGGTACAATTTGAGAGGCCCAAACTTGTAATAGGGACCGCCCGAGTTAGGAGCAAATCTCGCAAATTTCCCAGTGATGCGGTGGGTATACAAGATTTCCACAAGTGCGCTTCCTGCTGTTCATTTACCACCTACCAGGGCCGAAGATTTTTCACTATAGATATTCATAAATATGTTTCTGGTTCAGGCCTACCCAACTACCAGACTCAGCACCTAAGGATCCTAAATTAACCGGTATATCGGACCACACCACCCGTTTTCAAGGTGTGTGTCAGATCGCATTTCGGAGTATCAGCCAGAACACCGACAGGATGAGCCCTGGCATGCTCAGCTGTCACCTTGATTGGATAGTAAACGATTGTCGTAAAATCGCTATATGATTTTAAAACCGGGTGCATAAATTTGAAAGCCACCTAGATGAACCTTAGACTGTCACATTAATCTAATACAATGCAAAAAAGCCCTATCAAAAGTGGATAAAACATTCGTAAAGTCCCCATATATCCCCATAGAGACAATAAAATAGAATACTCTAAAGTAAGAGTACAGTTTAAGGTTGTTCAGCCGAGCGTGGATGAGCCCGCAGTCGTGCTACAAAATTTGTTCTGGGGTATTATACTCCGAAATGCGATCTGACACACACCTTGAAAACGGGTAGTGTGGTCCGATATACCGGTTTATTCAGGATCCTTAGGTGCCGAGTCTGGTAGTTGGGTAGGCCTGTGGTTAAATTGATGGATAATCTATGTACTGTGAAAAAATGTCCACAGAATAATAACTGTGGCCCTGGTAGAGGGTACTGTTTATTTGAGTTGGCGCCCTCGAACAGTAATTGGCCGCTTCGAACTCGGAAGCTCCGTTTAGGTGATTCTCTAATGTGAAAGCCAGGTTATATTAAGTTGTTAATCGCTCAACGTGTACCGGTACAGAAGACATCACTTAAGTATACTGCTGTAAAATGGACCTTTGTTTCTGCCTCCTAAAAACGCCTTTTTACTGTGGGGTCGTTCGCTACATAGTAACTGAGGCCCGAGTGCCTCATTTGACGTCATTTTTTGTCCATATTTGATGACGTCAAATGGCGTAGCGTTACTTCTTCCAAATAAGGCTACCCGTATGAATTGTCATTATCTTTGTAGATACCTTTATAAGTATGTATTTTTGTTCCATCATATCAATATCAGTCGACTGATCAGCCCACCGTTTAATCTGTGAATTCGTTTTGATAAAATTAATGGATTTCCGAAAAAGACAGAAATAGCAGAGTCAAAATAACATATCTGATAGTAGGGAGTCCCATGAGTTTGAGTATCGCTATATTTTGGTTTGATCACTCTTCAGTGAAAAAAGGTGTGAACATAGAAGATGAAAGTGAAATAACCGAGACATCAATGAGCCATATATATATACACTACAGACAATTAGTTTCTAACAATCCCTATCGCCGGTTTCACAAAACGGCTATAGCCACAAAATTGGTCTAAACTTTTAGCCCCAAAAGTAAGCCAACATCAGTTCATTATAAATCCATAAATTAATGAAATAAGTTTTGGCATGAAACGTAAGGCGTGTTTCTCCTGATATAAAATTAGCGCAGAATATCATTTAATTGAATTTCTACCGAATATTGTGTCAAAGTAGACCGAATCTATTGGTCTAGATGTTTAACCCTCTCGTATACCTCTTTCGTGGAACAAGCACCTGGCCTATATAGCCGTCATGCTCACTCCCTTCTGATTTCCGATAAGGATTTAAACAGTGGTGTGCTACAAAACATCAAATGCAACTTATTTATAGTTGGGATGTTCCTCAGTTTTTTTATGTCCTTAAGATTGATTCTTCCGACCCTTGAGAGTGACCCGTGACGTACAATGTAGATTCGGAACATTAGCAGGAATGAAAAATTAAATTTATTTGATATTATAGTGAAAAATGGTATTCCATGGGGAGGGAAGTCACAAATAATTTACGATTTTGTTGAATTTTTCCATATAAATAATTGAGAAATTTCACGTTTCATCATGTCTAATTTATATTACATGTATGCTGAAAATGTCTATTATTGTAATATCACTCACTACCGACTAGGCAGTTTGCCGGGTCCTTGTTCCAAATGACAGAACGCTGAAGATTCTTCTCGCGTGGTTTGATGCTTCAAAAATTCATGATGCTGTCAGTTTCGTCGTTTCATTGATGCAGTCAAAACATCGGTTTGTTTACACTCATATCTAGTCCAAACATCCGCCATGTCAAATGACACTTACTTCTGACAGCCCGCTGATAGAGCGGCACTCAACACAACGACATCAATATTTCAAATTGTGTCATTTTATTCCAGCGATCGAGTAGCTACTCATTTGGAATAACGGATAATGACTTCAGTATTTAAATATCTTGTTTATTCCTGCGAGGCGTTAGTATAAAGCAGAATTACGAAGGGCGATAGAAATATTCCAAAAAGTGTCATTCATTCATTCATTCATTTACACAAATAGTATCTTTGGAGAGGAATGACGGAGTGACAACAAAAATAGTCGTTTATTCACGCAAGTGGTTAATACAGAGCAGAATTATTGAGAGTGACATTAACGTCAATATTTCAGTACGAATTGTAACTACCATTAGTACTACAGAGTAAAATTACAAGGAATGACGCCAGTACTTTAAAAAATATCATTTTTTACATTAACAAAATACAGAGATTAGAAGAATGACGCAAATACTTAAAAGTGCGTCGTCAATTCGTACGATTATCTACAATAAATCGCTATAACGAAGGGTGGTATTAGTTATTCTAGTATGTTTAGTGTATAAAAGATAGTTATTCTTCGTTGTCATGCCGACGGCTTCTAGTGCTATTTTTAAATTCAAATGGCAATCCGATTTTCTGCTTATTTTGCCTTTAACCTGAAGGAAATTATTCTTTGTATAAATGGACTTTAATAATCAATATATAGCAAGTGGAGAGGTCCGCAATGAAAAGGTTTTTATAATTAAAAAGTCGGCCAATTATATTTTTTATCTTCATCTTTTAGTTTGCCATTGAAACATAAAAAAAAAAAACGTCTGCTAAATGTAGATATGCTGTCAAAATTTATTTTCGTTAGATCGTTTAAAAACAAAACATACGCAATTCAAAATGGGGCCTATGTGTTTGCTTAACGTCGCGACAGGCAGACTTTCTACTCTCAGTACTTTAAGCCAGAAGTGTGTAAACTGCATGGGCTGTCGCGTGTTAAAATATGCATGTTGTACAGGATTTTAAATAATAAAGGGTATATTTTACAACGAACATGTTTTCTTTGCTAAATACAATGTTGACACTATGACTCAAATTTAATACTTAATCATATCAATTTGTCAGTTATTGATGTACCATCTGTCGAAGTCATACATATACATTCCCAGAAATTAAATTACGAATTGCACAACTGTTGTAATACACCTGTCGTCTTTAATACAAATTTATGCTAAATGTGTTGATGTCACTGAGAAACGTTATTACCAACGGGTGTGAGTCTCTCTTTTTTTTAATCCAAAATACTTGTTTTGCGGTTAAAAATTGCAAGTTTTTCATGTAGTACATATATCTACAAATTGCTTATACATTGCTATGTTAAAAATATTTTTTGGGAATCGTCGTACTGAAATGTCAGTAATCCATAAGTTTAGACGATTAGTATTATTTTGGTCTTCAGTTATACTCACTTAGTCTCTACTTGAGGCCTTACTACTTTATGCAAAATCTTTCGCTCACTGTAATGTGCAGAACTTAGTCTTTCTCTTACCCTGAAGAAGGGTAAATGGGGTGACTACCCTTCACAATCGAACTAAATTAAATTAAAAAGGGATTGGTGAAAATAAAAATGAGCGCGGAAATATACTACGATGGGATAGGAGAGAATGATTCCCCTGTTACCGTACTATGACGCAGTGCAAAGTCAAAAGTGATAAGAATTCACAGATAATTCGTGTGCACTCCCAATAAGGAAATTGAAAATAATAGAATGGAGTCCAAAAGAAAGTCGTTCATGAAGACATCAAACTCTGTCTTCCCAAAGATGGAAACTAAAAAGGCTATTTTTCACAAACTGCAAATATTCTTCCCCTTATTACGGTCCTCAGTATCCAGTAAACGTGAAAATGCAACAAATGATCATAATGTCAAGTTCAGTAATCTTCTTGGGGTAAACAGAGTTATCCAATGACCTTTTTATCTTAGTCCGTGTTCCGAGGGTCTTCTCAAAACTATGAAATTCGAAATTCAGAACGTCAACGCTTAGATTACCACTCCTCGCCATGAAATGGTTTCTACCTGTATCTTACGTCGCTGGGGTCGTTGATACGAAAAACCTTTGACCAGAAATTGGGTTGGGTTTTAAAACCAAGTTGTTTTATTTGCTATAATGATTTAGTTTGTAGCCCTGTGTTACGTGATCATTTTAAGGAGAGTCCCGGAAATTATATAATTTCTTCCCTGACCATGAAGATTATTTTTAAATGGAAACTTCATTATGTAAAGTGTCATTTGGCGAAGATGGATCTTCTTAAATTATTTTGGTGAATCATGGTGAGTTTAAACTGGTCTTTCGTTGGAATGAAAATGGAATAGCTGCTTAATTCTTTACCACACCTGGTGTGAAAGCGCTGTTATTCATATGATAGGCTATTTGCACATTTGGAAAATGCGGGAAAAATACTTAAAAGTAATGCCTCTTTCTTTGGATGAATCAACACACGACTTATAATAGGTCTGAGCCAAAGGCCTTGTTTTATGACATTTACCCGATAAACTATCGTAATGAGAATAAACCCATCATACTTGTATTGTGCAAATATTTTACAATGGTATCTAAAGTCGTTTCGAGTGGGGCTTATAATAAGCCCAATCAAGGCGTTAAGGTATTAATTCTATTGTTTGTTTCCATTTCAGTTTGCAAGACCTGCATTGTGCGTTATCTCGAGAGCAGCAAGTATTGTCCAATATGTGACGTCATGGTCCACAAGACTCGACCTCTCGTTAATGTCCGGTAAGGAAAAAAAATCAAAATATTTATTGAGGTTAAATTTAAGTCGAACCTGAAAGAGAAGGAGACTTACCTGTAATATTATAAATATTACTCGTAGACAGAAATAAGAGTGACTTAACGTAAAAAGTTTTGTAGGTTGCTTAATTTAACTCCAAATGACCATTTACGTATAGAAAAGGAGGAATTCACAATTGATGTAAAAATTATTGCCGTATGCGTAATGAACATTCGTTCCTAGTTAACGTGGGCAAAATGTACCCGCAAACAAAAAGCTTTCGATGTAACAAAGTCGACCAAGAAAAGGGCAATAATATATAGTAAACGGTAGGGTTATTTCTTTATTTTTTATACGCTTACCTAACAAAGAAACGGTTATTTTGAAATTATTTATTGATAACTAGCACTACAAAATGTTAAATGACCGAATTTCCGTTACATTTTTTTTTCAAAATCATCATTATGGATCCACTTCTTTGTAGTATAAGGGTTAAAATTTCGTTTGAAGAGCATAGATCTTCAAACGGACCCTCTTCTACAACTTGACGTCTATGTGAAATATCATATCGCTTTCTCTTCATGTTAGAGACTTATTTACGCGCGGTAATTCGCTCCATGAACGTTCGATTAACCGGACAACCTGCCTGTGGTTTGAGGAAACAAGGAGTCGATTGGTCAGCGTGTTATCCGACATCTTTCATCGGTCACGAAAGGCAGATAAACAAACGCTGAATTTGTTTTTAGGCCTGCACGTCTGTGTGTTTGTTTTGTAGAAGAACTACTTCGCAATTATTTGTCAGACTATTTGAGAGGTTAATAATACCTTAAAGCTGTTGTTTACACGAATATTCTAAGTTATTTTCGGGATTCCGCTCATGTGAAAATCAAAAGGTAAAGGAATTTTAAAGCAATTTCTTTTTTTTCTGTTTTCAGATTAGATAAGACGCTCCAAGACCTTGTATATAAACTGGTGCCTGGTCTTTTTAAAAGTGAGTGATTTTAAAATATTTCGGCCGCATCGGAATATATAAACTGTTGTTTACACAATCGAAATGATTCCACATACATACATCGTACATTGATATTTAAAATCCGTTAGATTAAAATAGTCATGCTTCTTATTAGTCTCAAATGAAAATAAGTATGCTGTTTAAATTAAGCATCGACAGAGTGTTTAACCTGTCTTTTGAAAATTATAATTCATGCTTGTTATTTCCAGATGAAATGAAACGAAGGCGAGATTTCTTCGCAGTTAATCCTCTGCCAGGTAAGTTATACCTAAATTTATAGTGATTTAAACCGTTTGTATAAAGTGTGCCCTAAAGTTTGCAATTCGACGAGTAAAATGAAATATTGAGAGGTTGATTTCGGCCATGTGGAGGGACTTGTACAAGAGAGCCCCGTCTAAAGACCAGATCCCCCGAATTAGGATCGCGCGGCATCTTTGGTCTTTTTCCTTCTCACCTGCACAAGAAGGCACCGTGGCTTCGGATTAGATACACGTGCACACATGTCAAAACGATCAATCTTTATTCTGAGCCCATTTTATCTATAATTTCAGATCCAAGTTTCGGTCTGTCGAATGAAGATAAGGGAGAGGTCGACGAAGGCGCCATCTATACTGAAGATGACAAAATCAGTCTTTCGTTGGAGTACAGAGACACGTGGGTGTAGAAAATTTTTTAATTCGACTCGTATTTAAAGATTTGATGGACAAAATATTAAATATTTACGCTGTTCCAAAACTTCCTCGTAATCAAATTCTTCAATGAATTTCCCAAAATATCACACCCATGTTTCATCAAATCATTTAAACTTTTATGTTTTCCAGGAAAAAAAACATTTAAACCCATTTTCCGTTTTTGTTAATTGTGAGCAATATTTCTCTCCGTACTATAGGTCGGCGTTTAAAAATAATCCGGCACCTGAGGGTGAAGATGGCAAGCAAACAGTACAGGTACCGTGTAACCGAACTCTTTATTTTTCTGATTTTTAAATGATTCATTTTGCTACAGAGATCTACTGATATATTGGCGTTATTTTTTTCGCCGCGATATTCTAGATAAAGTAATTTCAACGACGACGACGGACATACTCCACGTCTTATGATTTGATCAGGGTATTTCAATATAAATTTTATATCTCGTATTACAGAATTATGAAATTATAGATTAGGTGTATATAAACATGTTTGAAATATTAATCATTGACACTGTCGAAAATGTATATTATCTCTGGTTTCTCTTACAGGACCACGACAAGCGCCACCTTTTGTGTCCCGCGGCCTTCACCGTTGCTCACCTCAAGAAATTCATCTTCATGAAGTTCGATTTGTCGCTCAACTATGACGTAAGCGGTTTATCCTTGAGACATAGCAAAGTCGGCCATTTTTGCGTGATATGTTAAGATCTCTTCACACTTACGACAAACTCGGACTGCAATAGTCTGAAATGCGCTGTTGGTCGTCACCACCCATTCTTATTGATTAACGTAGGGTTTTAGCTTAGTTCGATTAGGTCCACATAGAAACTGGTATAGCGTGGCAACGGGTTTTATAATGCAAACGCATTAAGAAATAATACATAAGATTAGAACAAAGCTACCACCATTTACAATACAAAGATGTGATGCGCTGCACGAAATTATTAACGTTGCCGTTTTGTTTTCTTGTTATTCACTTTCCCATAAATGTAAGTGCAATGTAGTGTCACAACACGCGTTTGATTAATTATCGTAAATAAAAACAGTCTTTTGGTTCTCGTTTGAATCATATAATTGAAATATATTCTGAACCTTGGTTTATTTTAGGTCGATATCTTCCACTCAGACGAGCCGCTGAATGACGACTACACGCTGATGGACGTAGCCTACATCTACACGTGGACTAGGGTAAGTTTACTGCGGGGCTTACACATCCTCGAACAGGGGGCAACGGAGGACTCATGTAGTTCGACAAAACGCTCTCGTTCGTGCACCCCACTCACCAGTTTAACAAAAGCATAGATCACAACATGTGATTGGAGTGCCATTAATAAAGATGATGTACACTGTAAGGTGTTGAATGTCACTTAAGTCTCAAACGACATGTTTATGCCGGTAGTATGCAGATTTACTCCTTATATACCGTGTTTAAACGTATTTTATTGTTGTTTTTTAGAGGGAGCCGCTGAAGTTATACTATCTCATATTTGAGAGGGAGATAGTTCGTAACCAGGACACAGAACACACCACAGACGCTGTACCACACAAGAAACGGCGTATAGAGGGCGACAAAGCAAAAGACGAGGAGTCGGATCTTTCTACTGCACCCCAGGGTCCCAAGACGCCCAGTGCTATAGACACTGAAACTGTGCCAGTTTTGGATAATGATAAAACAATCCCTGCGCAGAGATCAGCCACGGATTCATTACCTTTACCTCAAGTAAACGTGGCAACAGTGGATGAGCCACCAGCGGTCCCTGAAAGTGGTCATAATAATAATAATAATAATGGAGTCGTCTTAGAAACCGTTGCCACGGAAACTGTGCCGGTGTCGGCATCTTCCAATACATTGCCAACGCCAGTGAATATTGCCAGCGCATCTGCATCTGCAAATAATGCATCTGCTAAAAATGGTGCTAGTCCTATTGAAAGCAATTATCAACAAAACCATGACTATATTTTACAACAAAAACAACACCAACAAGAGAAAATGCAGCAGAAGTTTCAGAGCGAGCATCGGGAGATACAGCGTGTACAGGAAGATCAACGTCAATTTGGCAGCGAGCAAGGCCCCGCCCAGCTAGAAAAAGAAGACTCATGGCAGCGGCAGCAACAGGCTGCGCAACAAATATACGACTTCCAAAACCAGTCAACGCCAGAACAAGAACAGATGAGCTACGAGAAACCGACACAAAATGCTCAGCAGCATGACCAGTTCCGACACCAGGGCCAGCAAATAACGAAACAAACACCTCGACAGCAGCAGCCACAGGAATTACACAATAATCAGCAACACCAAACCCACCAACGGCAACACACTCCACAACTAAAAGTACCTCAAATCCCCCTAAGTCAAATAGGGGCAAAGAAACAACACGGCAGCCTGATGTCAAACAAGCCGGACCCTACTAAAGTTTTAGGGCGTAAAAAGCCACGACAGCGCCGCCAGAAACAGTGGCCTGAAGCTCCACAGTGGCAGCAGCCCCCGGCGTCCCCCTTTCAGCCACAAGGTCTCCACATCCCCGACCAGCAAAGACAACCCTTCGTGCAGCCTATAAACTTTCAAGCAGCAATCGCCAATGGGAATTATGGCATTATTTATTTTCCGCAGACTAGCTTCAAAAATTTGGCATCATCTCATTCGACCCAAGCCGCAGTTTTGGCGGCCGGAGGTCAACCCGGTGCAATGACAATACCAACCATCATGCCAGCTCCCATGGCTGCTGACGTCACAGGTGCTGGAATCAAGACGAGCCCTGAAAACTACGCCGCACACACGGACTCCGCAGAGTACATGGAGGCCCAAGATCTTTCCACTCTTCGCTCTGCCAGCGTAGAAGCAGAGTGCACGGTGACATCAACTCAAGACGGAGAAGGAAAGGTTGGCCATAGTCCGAAAAGTGAGAAACAAGATGTGGTTTCAACAACACGGACGCCATCGCCTCCACAGATTGACCAATCGAAATCTTCCTTGCAACCAACGTCGCCACAGTCGCAGCCGCTTAACTGCAGTCGTAAAGGGAATGGCTCGATGTCGAAAAGCGCGCGTGTGAACGGGATTGCCGACGCATTGGCTTCCAAGCACTTGAATTCTGGGAAACCTGGAGATCCTTATATGGAGTGTAGCCCTTCTAATGGTCAGATTTCGCCCGCTGGTCCAGTTTTTAGGGTGTAGTTATATTTGTGTAGAATGCCTAGACATTGCATTTGATATTTGATTAATTGAAGGCGCGTCAGTTGTTGTTAAATTATCGTGAATGTAATTTGAATAGAGTTCAAAAGCATGTATCTTGTAAATTTTAGATATTATCTGATAAAAAAAAACCTTTTTGATTTTTTATTTTTTGTCTTTCAAAAAGTGAATGAAGGCACATCGATTATTGTTAAATTGCCGTGAAGGTAATTTGAGTGAAGTTCTAAAGCGTGTGTTTTGTAAATTTGGGATATTTTAAAAATAAACTTTTTAGATATTATTTTTTTGTCTTTCAAAAAATTGATACATACATTGTGCAAGTATACAGATATTGGCCTTGTGCTTTCAAAAATGGCACACACTGAAAAAACGTGATCATATTGAAAAATGATGGAAGCGAGGGGCATCTAGGTGTATCTCCTTGTCGTATTTGTAGATGCATGTTCGTTGTATTAAGACAAAAACTTCTCAGAAAGCACGACATTGCTGAGATATTGTAAAGATTGCTGTATTAGTTTAATGGAACAATTTGTTCAGCTTTTTGGGTTCATATCTGTTCACAAAGATGAAGTAAAACTTGTGTACGTTGAGGCAATATAAGAATGTGTTCACAAATATTATGACCTCTTTAACCTATTAAAAGATGTATAGAAATGACGAAAAGAGGTAGAGGTGACAGAAAATACAAGTTGTATTTAGTAAGTGGTGATTTGATGTTTATATGTAAAATATTGAAAACTATTCTCTTCAAAAGAGACATACATGTAGTAGGTGAAATGATCTGTAAACCAATCTGGATGAAACCGTAGGAAAAACTGCACGTTTGAAGAATGTTAACGTTTTATTTTTCAAGAAGGAATGCAAGATAATTCCTGGGAAGATTATTATTATTATCATCATTATTATTATTATTATCTTCGCTAACAAAGCGATACAGTTTAAGAAAAATAGAACAGAAACACTTAATAACGCACAAAAAGAACTAGAAACGCAGGAACGAGTACATTATACTAGTTCTCTCTAGCAGAAGTCAGCAAAGACACTGTTCGGCGTGTCATTTCAGCTAATCAATGCGGAGCAACCGTAGATGGTTTTTATATGGACCAATGACATTGGAGAAGATGGGCGGAGGTGGACCAACTGAATTTAATGTGGAGATGTAAACGTATATGCTTATTGTGAACGCGAGTGTATGTCGTGTAAAAATATGAGGGAGAATGTACAAACGACTGATGTGGTTAGAGCAAGTGCAAGCAATGATGTATTGTTTTAATTTCATGTATATTACATATATTTTATCGTTTTATGTATGCCCAGGCATGGCAGTTTCTATACACCATACGTATTCAACATACATACACCAGATATGTGTAAATTTTGTACAGAGAGCATGTGCTGTGGTTTAACTAGTATATAACGATTAGGTGCGAGTTGATTATGTTCGTTACTCAAAACGTAATTTTGATTTTGATTATCTTGTTTAAGCTCACGAGGAGCAAGATTGAAGATGTTTTTTTGTCTGTGACATATGATCCATTACTGCATGACTGTTGAAAATAAAAATCGTCAGTTGTTTATGTCGGCGTCAGCGTGTTCTTTAATTTTATCTATACCACGCTGTAAAGGTAAATTTGGTGAAAAAATTTGTGTGAAATATCCCATGTCGATAAATCCAAAATCGGCCCCTGCTAAAATTTCAAAATAATGTAGGTTTTTAATATCCCAACATCGGACCATCAGAACTTCGAAGGAATATAGAATTATTTAAAATCAAAACGATCAAGATTCACTGTGATTAAGAACCGCCATGCGAAACCTGGTAATTTAGCGCAAAATTCGTCGTTCTAAATCTAGATATATTTCGGGTTTATTGGTATTGTTTTAGAGATGTTATTATGTCGTTTTTCTTAATTTGAAGTAATTGTTGAGTTTGTTAATTGCGGACTGATTGGATGGTGGACATGGTTTTTCACAGGTATTTTGCTCAAAGAATGGGCCATAACCGATCCTTTCTCTATACTGAAAGATCATGAACAATTTCTCACAATTTTTTTTTAAATTTTAATGATACTAATATGAAAAGTTACCATTTGCAGATCATTTTCAGCTCATCGACAAAATATATTCTAGTATAACCCAACGTACTGGCTCGTTTTTGTATATAAGCTGGCGAACATACACCAGAGTGATTTAAAGAATTGTTTTGTTTGTGATCAAATAGACTGAATAATTACTTATTTTGGCTATGCAGGTTGTCTGTATGTAAGTATTATAAGCTTGTCACACTCATTTTAAGCAAAGCGAAAATACACGTGCACAGATTTTCAGTTTACAGGCAGATAATAAAAAGAATGAAAGAAAATTCTTAGAGACCTGTGGGAAATTTGTAGACCTATGGGTTTTTTCCACGCTTTCAGTCAGTGGAGTGGTCGCTTATTTCGTCAATTAAATCATACGAGAAATACACCTTAAGTAAAAGCAAATCAAAAGAACTTCTCCATTTTGCAACCTATGCTGGTTTTATCTTGTCTCTACGTATTTCGAAACACGAAAATATCGCAAACATTTGTGTTTTTCCGGTCTTAAAAAGATTGAGATTATGTCAAGGTGAAGGCCGTGAATTTTGTTCATAAATGCTCGACATATCCATCGTTTTAGTAACTAATGTCATTTTAGTGTGATACATGTAATTTCACAAAACCTCATTTTACCATATCGCTGTACACCACACCAGTTGAAGATGTCAAATTGCTTTAAATCACATTTCTCTGTTTTCCTTTATCCTGGCTGTGATGTAAATTGTCTTAAAAATAGAAAAATCTACGCTAAAAAAGACAGATAATTAATTTATGCCTGAAGAACTGTGAATAACCCGAGAACAGATAGATAATTTACAATCAGAAAAAATGAAAAGAGCTCTTGCAGGTATGTATTTGCACCCTTTTCAACTTTTTCGTCTATCAATAATTTACATATTCATTTATGTGTCTGTTCAAACAAATATTTATTCAATAAACTATATTCATCAATCCATTTGTATATACAATTTTAAACTTTTGTGATTTCAGGAAAGAAAAAAAAACATTGGATGTTAGGAGTGGATTCGAGTAAAAAAATTAATGAAATTAAATTGCAGGAAGATGCAAATAACACAATTACTATGTCGATTTGAATTTTGTATTTATTTATTTATTTATTTATTTATTTATCATGAGAACATAGACATCAATCGAGGAGTAAAACTTAAGTTTTTCAGAGTAAAGATTTATTTATTTTCAGCACAGTAATCTCGCCAAGCAATACTTTTTGAATTTTCATTGTTTAAACGATCATTTGTAAAATCCAATTGTTTTATTTTCTTACAATAATCCCCCGAATTGCCGGCACAATGTATGAGGGAGACAGTTGAAGGCAACAACGATAGCACATCAGTGCAGTACGCTTTTCATAAAATAGACCCTCTTAAAACGCAATAAAAAGGGAATGATTTTAGTTTGATTAAATAAGAAATGAAAATATACAAATATTTGATCCATCTTCGTGAGCTTGCATTATGCGTACATCAATAGCGATGCAGACTAGAAATACTTAAAATCGCTAGTGTATCAAAATATATTCACAATGAAGACTTGAAATAATAAATATTTTAGGTGAAAGATCCAACATTTGATATGTTAAGAATGAGCGGCAGATTATATTGAATCTAATTACATACATTACAAAAACATTCCCACTAACACTAGTAACCGGCTATATTCATTTCCCAGGATAAATATTCCAAAGAATTAAAAATGGAAATGTCGACAAAAATAACGGTAGCTAACAAACAAACCCCTTTCCAAATAAAACTAATGCATCTAATATGAAATAAATAAAATAACAAAACTAAATCTTTAAATATTTACAGCGAAACGAAACTTCCGTCACCTTACAATATCGAGAAAAGTCAATTAATAAACTTATAAGTTACCAAATCACAAAGATGTTACCCACACCACCTGTGTGTTTTCTCTAATACATGTATATAAGATACATATATAAAGTTAAAGTTTCAAAGTTTTTTTGTACGTTTTATGTCTGTTGTCAACGAAGGAGCAACGTACAATTAGGAATCGTACTTATTTCCCATGACAAATATTAATCAAAAAATAAGTTACTGAATTAGACAAACAGGTAACAACATACAAAAAATAGAAAAAAACGGTACACTTAAATTGTGAAGCTGGCCATAACAAATTTTTATTTGAATCCACAATATTTTCAAAGCCAGAAAAAAACGTCATTAATGAATTTGGTTGGAATTATGCACCGTGTTCGATTTCCATGAAAAAAAAGAACACACTTTTAGACGTCGACTCCGAAAACCTCCTTAATAAACTCTTCGTAATTCATGGTCTCGGTGTCTCCGTCCTTATCTTCGATTTGAGCCAGCCACCTGGCGGTCTCTTCCTCGGTGTAATTCCGTCCCAGCTCGGCCAGGCAAGCCTTCAGCTCGTGCTTGTCAATCTTCCCGTCTCCGTTCTTGTCAAACTGTTGGAAGACACCTCGAAACATCGCAGCCCTGGGAAAATTAATATACCTTTAGTTTCTATTAGTCGTTGCTACAGTGTAGCTTTAAGGGAAATGTTCACTGCTGTCTAAGTTGATGTTGATTGAAGTATTCATGGTCGTAAAATATTCAATTCACACCAAATATTTTACTGAAAATTTTCTGATGCCATATTCTAGACAATGTTTTAGTTGGGCCTCTGAAACAGTGTTTCTTTACTTTTTTTCTTTGCGGCAAATTTAGCTAATTGCAAATATTCATAAAATCCTTTTTTCTTTTATAAGACTTCAGGACAACATTTTAATTCCCGTTAAATATTTCGTCACCTAGACACACGTGACAGTCTCAGTTCTGTTACACCAACCAAACCTCGGAGAGTTAACCAATAAATTGGAAGATGAAAAAAGCTATTCTCAACCACAACGAATAACAATGAATCGAAACATGGCAAATAGAGAGAGAAGGGGGGTGGGCAGAGTGGGGAAGAAATTGCCTCCCATGGGGTCTGCTTCACAAAAAAAAAACACTTTAACCTGAAAACTGATCTAAACTTATAGTCAAAAATTTATGTCCTCTGTAATATGAAAAAAAGTCGGTGGTAGTCAATAAAATTCTAAAATGTTCATTGGTTAATTTATTTACTTGCTTTATACATGGAGTATACCAAATTTGAGAAAAAAATTAAAATTAAAGACAAAAATTTGAATCTAAAACCGTTTTGTGAAGCCTGCATCTGTACCCCCCTCCCACCTTCTCCCCTCCCCCACCCCACCCCACCCCAACCCGCCCACACAACCCCACAACCCGCCAACCCCGCCCTCTTGGCCCTTGCGTATACTCAAATAACCCAAGCATATACTCACTTGTGGTGGACAGGCGGCACTAAGCCCATAGCTACCATGTATTCCTCCAGAGAAATCTGCCCGTCCCCCGATGTGTCGACGCTTTCAAAATATTTCTACAGAAAAAAAAACACATGGTAGTTAAAAGGGACATTTTGGATAATGAGTCCAAAGTAACAGTACTCAAGGGCGGTATGGTTAATGGGATAGTGTCCAGGGACAAGCGGCAGAAGAACATATCGTTTTATCTTATTGACATTGGCGCCTGTGTGACAATAATGGTAGTCCTAGGAATGAAAGTCCTGGGTCCCATATGATAAGTACAGGTTAAGGTTAATCGGAGTATTGGGATTTGTATATTGGCCAAATGTCACCTGTACAAAGTAATGGGGAACGGACTACGGTTCCTTGCGGACTAACATTCTTGTAACACCGGCTCAGATAAGCTCTAGGATACATGTACGCCGTAATCCTGTTTTATGCTGAGAAAAGTCGCTTTCCCATTAAATATGTACTCTTTAACAGAGGCTTTCTATAGCTGCTACAAACATGCATATTAATTTTTCATATAGTTTTGTAACAGCTAGAGAATACTTATGGTAGAGGACACAAAAGTGGAGCACACTTCACTTGGTGCGGCCTGCGGACCTCAACAAGCAAAATGTGGTAACGAACAATTCAACACAGAAAGGCGAATTTCTAGTCTCATTTGGTCGTTCTAACTTTATTCTGCGCCTTTCAGAAGGTAACATTTAATATCGGCAGAAAATATAACGACGCGTGCCTTACCACGATCGGTAAAAGAATTAATATATCCAACATGCCCTCTTTAAAAATTTAATAAGCTTATTAAAACATAACAGCCAAAAGGTTGAAGTTATACTAAAAGATCAGTGCTAATAAAGCAATGAAACATAACTAGTTAAATAGCACAATATAAAATCCTGTCGGGCGAATGGAACAAAGATTACACTTTATCTCTTGCTACACTATCATATGTAATAAATATCCAACAGTATATGTGAGTGTCATGGTAAAATATTTATAATTTATTATCAAATTGGTAAATTTTTATAGAGAAACGACGGTTTTCGATTTCCTTTATTAGATGCTCCCTTATGGTCGATCAAAGTAGTGTAAATATTTGATAATGATGACTCTCTTTATAAGGCATGAGTCATTGAAATGATATTGCGCAGGTAATATTCAATAACCACATGAGATGGCAAATCAATGACGCGTGTTTGCTGCTTGAAATAAGATGACTGGTTGTCGTGTGCGTGTTAGTAATGAAACCGGATCCTTATTTTATTCATTAATTTTGAATTTAATTCATGGAATTGTGATAAGAGATTTGAAAACAGGTGTATGACCATGGAATTCCGATCCCTTTTCTCTTTCTCTTTTTAGTTACCTCTCTCTCTCTCTCTCTCTCTCTCTCTCTCGCATTGTTTGTGAGTCGTATTAAAATCAACCGTGCATCAACGACTTGCACATAACACGCAGATAGGCAGAGAAGATCGACGTCGAGACATACATGTACGCATGTTATGTTAAATACGTAATAGGTTATTTAATCAAATATAGGAAGACATTAAGTCAACAAAAAAGGGGAAAATAAGGTGCTTTAGCTGAAAACTGTGAGCATTATTTGCATCTGTAGTAAATGGATGTTCTGCACTGATAATCCTGGGTTATTTTGCCGAGGAGTGGTTGGATAGGATATATGTACGAACAAGACTGTTCTAATCATTTAAATCATCTTCGCGGCAGACGAAGCACGAAATTTCACCGACATGTATAGATAAGTTTATATATAGTGTATGACGAATGCAATATAACACATGGAATATGATTCAATTTAATCTAATTTAATTCAAGCAATGAATGCGTGTGATTTACATTTTGTTGACTCAATAAACATCCGTCTGTTGAAAGCAAAGTATGTAATGCTAAACTCTGAAGAAGCACGTGGAAACTACAGAGCCGACCGGAAGAGACTGCAACACAAAACAAGTAAGACTGAAGACAGGGGGGTGGACAGGTGACCTCACATGGATGACCACACCTGGAAGGGAGGGAGGGTCCCTTCCAACAAATTGATATTAGCTCTGGATTTAGATTAAAATGCAGATATTTGCCGATTTCTCTAGTCGTAATGTTGTGAGCTGCATAAACAAACATGCAGATATGTAATGATTTATTATTTATTATTATCATTTATGGAATTTGTTACGGCTAGAGATTTGCGTGTTTATAATTTTTCAGATCAAGTATAAGGTAAAATGTTCTATGCCTTATAACTTGTCTGTTTTCTTATGAAGGCTTATTTATAAATACCACGGATATTGCCATTTTGATAAGTTATCACAGAAAGTCCACACGCAATAAAACAAATATAGATAACAAGTATCGTGAGGTATGATTACATAGCTCTAATTTGTTGATGTGAAAACCGAAAACGATATAAGCGGCCTAAAATATTATTTATGAAACAACCAAGAGCCTAAATTCTAGGAATTTATCTTTTATATAATGGCGAAATGTCATTGTTCTAATTTATTTCAGTCAAAACATTCCGTTTTCAATGTGTCAATTTTTGGTTCTTTAAATAATAAGAAGCAAGGCTAGGATTGTTCTACCCGGTATGTATGTTCAGTACTATGTATGATATGTTGACTAGCCATAACTGACTTCCGCGCGCCGCTGAACTGTGACTGCGAACTGTTGGTGCGTATGATGAATTATCCACCAGAATCTAATCCTTTATTCTGAAATATGCCAGTCTGATAATGGAGGTCAGCGGAAGACAGCTTTACCTTTGTCAACGGGTACGATACAGGCGCTGCTGAGAGAAAAGAACAACCTTGAAATTTATAAAATATAGGTCGATTCACCTGATTTTCTTTACTATTGTTTATGTATTGGCTCGTCTACATATATATATATATATATATATATATATATATATATATATGATTTGATATTAAATATTTAGATTTAACACAGAAAAGAGAGCCAGCAAATGCACGTGTAATTGAAACATACATGTATGATTAATATTTTCGATATTATTATTATTATTAATAACTGCCATTGTGTGTTCAATCGCATCAAAGGGGACCTCGATGGTAGAGAAAATGAAATATTTTCCTTCTTTTTCTTTTCCTTCTTTTCAAATATGTTTACTTTCCTTGTTTCTTTTCCCTCTTTGTTAATTACTTTCTTTGCTCCCTTCCCTTTAAATTAAGGACCAAACGCGTGTCGAGTGGTAATGTATACCCTTATATGCTTCATTTAAAAATAATCCTGATCATTTGGTCACTTTTTAAAGAATTGACGCATTATATGCTGTCTTCATAAATAAAACAAAATCTACAACAAAATTTGTTATGGGCATTCTAGGTTTCTCAGGGATCTTGTCTTACAATCTGAGATTGTTATACCTGTAAATCGCACAGCAGCAGCAGTATTTTAATAAAATAAAATAACAGTCTGAAATTGAAGATTGGGTTATTATCACTACTGAAGATGCTGGCGATTTTTTTTTGCGTATCTCTTTCAAAGGATTATTGATATTAGTGTCCCTTGCTACTGCGCTAATTGACATGATAATCATTTATTTGTAAACAAGCCCACATCAAAACGTAAGCAGACGGCGCTGATCTACTGGTATTAATAATTTGTTTTAAAGTAGTGTGTGAATGTGTGTGTATGTGAGAGAGAAAGAGAGAGGGGAGACAAAGAAGTCAAAGAAACAAAGAGAGTTAAAGAAAGAGACAAAGGTAGAAAGAGAGGGGGAAATCTAGCAAAGTCTACCCAGAATGGGGAGGAGATAGGAAAGGGTCACGTGCATGAGAAGACACTACCAATACCAAGGTTCTACCTGCCAGTGTTATCCGCTTCTAGCAAAGAGCTATAAGCATTAACGTTTTTCATTAAGGGAGATAAAAGCGATACAATATAAGTTGTGTCTCTGAATAATTCGACAGAGGAAGCGTCGACATCAACCATTAACGTTGGCCCCTTTCTGCATTACTGCATATGTGACCTAATTCATGTTTTATTCAAGCGTTTTGATGTTTCATTGCGCTAAGCAAGGTAATTGATAAAAAGCATTAACTGTTTTGCCGTCACTTAGCTGATTAACAGGAGTAATTATTTTCATTTTTATACATCTGTAATAGCTCTGCCGGTGAATTCGGACCAAGCAAAACTAGTATCCTTAGCGTTTTGTGAATACCGCATTTAAAAAAATCGTTTTAACGTTTTTCCTTTCGATCAATAATTCCTTTCATAAATTCACACATCAAAACAAACCAAAATAACTAGAAAATAATTATAGTTGATGAGTGACTTGCATGCATTGCAATGCTTTTGCTGCTTGCGCAACGATGTGTTTCATTGTAATTGTTCTAACTCGTCCCTAAAATAAATAAAATCACACACATCAGGAAAAGTAAATTAAGGCTCAGAGAGAGAGAGAGAGAGAGAGAGAGAGCAATACGGATATCAAGGAGCCTACCTTTATTTCTTCATCCTTGCCTCTGTAGCCCTTTTTCCTCAGAATGCCGCACAGTTCACATAAGGACAGCGTCCCATTTTGATCGCTATCCGCCTCCTTAAAGAATGCCTCAAATTGTTCCTTGTCCATTTTGTCCGAGGGAGAGTGGAGTAATAGCAACGTGTTTCTATTGTATATTGTATATTATATTCGCTATGGTGAAGTGATGAGTTTATGTCTACATTTTTCTTTTATTTATAATCATGCGGGTCTCTCTGTCGGGCGGATGACTTGAATGACGTCATACCTGTGATGAGCAAGCGGAGGGATCCGTGTTACGCATGAAGGAAATGAACAAGCGTCTTTTTAAAGGAACTTACTGATAAAAAATTTGATTAAGAAATTTTATGACGGGGAATGACCAAGATGTGGAAGACGACAAAGGATGCGAGTGGGTTGCAGTAAGGCAGTTACAACTGTATGCTTAAAAGTCATTTTATTTTAAATTCACAAAATGAAACTTAAATATCACACTCTCTCTCTCTCTATCACACACACACGCGCGCGCGCGTGCACGCACGCACCTCTTTTATACCTTAGCTCATTAATTTTCATTTAAATTAACATTCAAACCGTAGGAAACAGATATAGCGTGTATTTGTGATTAACAGAATTTTTAATAATTATAAATGCGATTTTCTCCATTTTAATTAGAAAAGAGAAACGGGCTTCATCTGCATTGGAAAGGTAAATTTGATGCAGTGTTTGTGTGTGTGTGAGAGAGAGAGAGAGAGAGAGAGAGAGAGAGAGAGATTTGAAGTGCAGCCACTCCCTGTGACATGAACAGAGTCTGAAGGCTTTTTTTAACAAGGCATAGAAAAATAGTTCAGTTTCTCGGATCGGGCGTTCTATGTCATCATTTTCTATCATTATTTTGGGGGAGCGGGAATAAAATATAAAAGCCACAGTGTGGATGATTTCAGAGAATAAAAGCAACGCTAGGATCAGTTATACATTTCTCCCTTTTACAACACCAATATCCAGTGCATTTGTTTCATGTGAAAGAAAATCAAATTTTCCTTAAAATGTCGGTTGCAATCATGAAACAATTTAAATTTTTTGACTAGCCTAACATTGGGTTTATTTGGGTTATTTGATTTGTCTCGAAGTGCTTAAATCTGAAATGAAAGGCACTGACCATGATGACGTGGTTGATGGAGACTTCTAGGGGTACAGAATATTTTTTTATATTTGTGCAACACGTACGATTTCAAATAAAAAGTACTGAAGAATCATAGGAAAAAAACACCAATACATGAACAAATGTGTCGATTCGCAGCTTTATTTAGCTTTATAAGTAAATGTTATTCCGAACAATTGTAAGCAAAATTGCACCTATCGGAGAAAGACAATTTTCAAAAAAGTTTTGATATTGAAAGGCTAGATCAAGAAATGTGTTAGTTTAAATTGTTAAAAATTATCACGTTCAGTAACAAACATTACTTTTAGATACTAAAAATGTAAACAATTTTGTTATCTAAATTCAGTGTAAAATTTAAAATTCTAAACATCTGTAAAAATGCGCTGCCCACAAAATATACACAAAGTAATTATTACGAAAGAAAGATGTTAAAATTACTCTGCATTGTCTTTTCATTTCGACTACAATAAAAAAAGGATTAGAAAATTCTAACAACTAAAATGAGTAATTGAAAAGTTGAAAACTAATTTTTAAAAAATTGCACTAAATATATAATGTGGTCTCTCAAACATCTCCAAATGCTGCTCTGCTCAATATAAGCAAAAATTAGAAGAGGCATGAAAACTAACATGATGTAACTAATATCGCCAAGTCGACAAAAATTGCTAAAAATGAGTTTTGCACTGTTCTGTGTACCAGCCAGGGGAATCCCATTCAACTGCGGAGTTCCAAAAGTTTCAAAGGAAACCGAATCGCACCCAGTTCACACAATCTTTCCGTGCACCTCTTTACAAAAGGCTAAAGACTGGCCCACAAGAGCGAAGACCAACTCGGCTTCGTCCGGATTTCGTGGCGGAAATACACGAACGTCGAACGTCAGTTTTTTGTTTTTTGTTTTGTCTTTTCCGCATTATTTTTAATAACCGAATACTTTCTTGATGAACTCTTCGTAGTCCAGGGTCGCGCTGCCATCTTTGTCGGCCGCATCGATGAGACGTTGACAAACATCTTCGGAATACACGGAACCCATCTCTTTGAAGATTGCCTGCAGCTCTTTACTGTCGATGAAGCCGCTTTTATCGATGTCAAAGTCATTGAACAGCTTACGAAGCGTTGCGGCCCTAGAAAGAGAAAAGCCGTCCGCAATGATGAATGTTACCACTTTGTTACCATCTCAACTACCGCATTTCCCATTTCTCTTCTCACTGACTCACACCAGCTCAGGTATCACTTTCACATTGATTAAAGTATAGATATGTTAAAATGTATAACTACTAATAAAACTGCATATACAGCATCTGTTAAAGCAACTAACGATCATCAGGCCCGTAGCCAGGGAAGTTCGGGGGGAGGGGGGGCAAAAACCCCCGTCGAAAGAATCCCCCTTTTGCCAGGAATTCCCCTCCCTTTTTTGCCAGGAAATGGTCCCCTTTGGATAAAATTTTATCTAGATACTCGAAGTTTCAGGGTAAAAGGTCCAGTTTTTCAGAAAAAGAACCCCCCCCCCC